TCTTGCTCTGCACCAGATCCCCTCACCTCCTGCACCCCGATCACTCCTCTGCGCCAAGATCCAAGAAGGGGATATGGAGATCGATACAAAGGATAAGAAATAGAGGAAGAGGGGCCCTGAAAAAACCAGGGAGAAGCACCTAGGTGAGAGGCTCGCACGCCGCTGAGGGAAACCCTAGCGGCGGCGAGAGCTTTTATTTATTTCATTGTTAAGATAATTAAATGAAAAAGAAAAAAAAAACTAAAGGACAACTAAAGTAGGAACAATTTTGTAAATTCGGACTAAGAATGGGTTCTTCGAGGAAGCTTCAAACCTTGTGCTTTACTACAACGAAATATCAAATTCCTCCAAAACTGGCAATTTGACAACTTTTTGGCTGTATTTCCGTCAGCTAATCCACCATATTCATGCCACGTCATCAATCCATTTGCCTGCATTTCCCACGTGTCTCGACCCTACTCCTACCATTCTATACTTATTTTCTTTCCCTATACATATGCACACGATACGTTACTCTTTTTCTTCAGTCTCCCCCTACTCCAGCTCTCGGTATTCCGCTCCGACATGATACTGGAAGTAGAATCAAAGTCGCCGGAGCTTAAATTTGCAGGCGGAATTGTCAGTAAGTTGGATTTGTTGCTCTCAGAAGCTGACGATGAGAGCGAGTTTTCTGATGGGTTCTTGATCGAGGAGGAGAAGGTGGAGGAGATAATGAGGGAGCTGTACAAAGAGATAACGTCATGTCCTTGCGCCAGCCCGACACCTGCGGCTAATTTGCCATCTTCGACGTCGTCGGTATCTTCAACGTCGTCGTTAATCCCTTTTTCCTCGCAGCCGTTTTTCGCAGTCTGCGACGTGACTGACGTCAAGAGCGACAGCTGCGGGCCGTCCTTGTCGGACTCCGCTTCCACCGTGATGGCCGGAGTTGAGTTCGTGGGGCCCACCTTCAAGAATGTGGCCTTGCCGGAGATACGGAGTGGATCGCCGGTGGAGAACGAGATGTGGATGGAGGGTGGAGGAATTGACGACGGAGTTGGCGGGGTCGGAATGGACGGCCGCGATGGAGAGGTTGTGGATGATCAGTGGCTGGCGAGAGTTCTGGGGTGGGACCCATTAGAGATCGATTAGTGGGACCTGATATTCCTTCTTCGGTTCCGTACAAATTGTGGCCGTATGTAGGGCAGGTTTTAGGGAAATTGTACCCGGCCTTCTGTCAATGATTAAAAGTAGTGCAAATAGTAACGGAGTTGAATCAAATGGTAAACGACTTGTTTCAACTTAACTAAGATTTCAATACGCAACAGTCCTCGTTGAAAGACTTACTCACCATTTTTAGGTGGACGACGCGAGTGGAATTCGGATTAGTCGGGACAAAGCTCCAAATATCCGACGAGAAATAAAATAAAAAAAAAAAAAGTAGTGCAAATTAACTGCCGTATAACATTTTCTTCTATGTCTCTTCAATTTTTTCACCTCCTTATTGGTTTAGTTTATTTATTTATTTTATCTCTGTAATGATATATGGGAATTAATTACCTTATGTTTAGGTTTTTTTTTTTTTACTCAGTAAAATTGAGATATATTTACGCTGCTTATATCACATATGTATTGTGCTGGTGGTAATATTTTACAATAGGTTACAATCCTAATTTATTCTCTTAATTATTTTATGTAAATCTGATTTGGTTTTTGAATTAAAAAAAATCTCTAATTTGATTCTTACTATTTATTAATTTAGTCCCAAATTAATTCTTCCATACAAAAACAACTTTTATTTTTAACATGACACATAATCATTAAATAATAGTTTATTGCTGTTAAATAATGAATAAGTCAATTATTTTTATACGAAATAATCAATTTGGGATCAAATTAGTAAATAATAAGAATCAAATCAATTTTTTTTTTTTAATTTAGGAGTCAAATCGAGATTCATACAGTAGTTGAAAGATTAAATTAGGAATTTAACTTTTACGTTAAGATGTTGATCTAGCATAAATCTATTGTTTGTATTTTTTTTAGTATTACCTTTCGTATTTAGAAGTTATATAGGAATGTGATTAATTCGAAATTGA